CCCCCCCCCCCCCTCCCCCCAAAAAAAAGAAAGAAAAAAGAAAAACCACCCCCTTATTATTTCATAAGTAAAATTAAAAAAAAAACCAAAAAAAATCTTCATGAACTTAAAGTAACATTATGCAATCATAACTAATTTTTTTAAGGGTCCCCATAGTGTCTTCGATCAATGGCGAAATATTTCGTCATGAAGACACTCAAGAATTATCAAAGATTTGAATCAAAGATTATTTTTTTTAAACACAATAAAACAAGACCGAAGACAAAAAAAAAAAACCACAATAAAGGTGATGAAATCTTCACGGACAGGAAACAACTCACTAAATGTCTGGGTTGTTATTCAGCGGCTTTTTCAAGTGTGCCTTGTAGCCGTGTGTTCTCTTTGTGCCGATTATGTAATGTAGGTCGAGCTTTTCCCCCCGACCAAAAATATTGGGCATCTGCATCCCGAGAATCTGCAACAAAGGAAAAATTTGCTCATTTCTACTGAATTTGTATACCTTTCAGTTAAAGTAAAAAAAAGTTTTACAGCACTTGCAACTTAATAACGTCATAAAAGTGTTGAAGATTAGATCTAGAGACGTGACAAGAGAGTAACAAACAGCAAAAAAAACTAGGAGAGATCAGGGATGAGATGGAGTCTTACGCCACTTGCAACATAATAACGTCAAATAAGCGTAGAAGAATAGAGGAGTTATAAGAAAGTACAACCACAAGAAAGGAGGAGAGACCAGGAAAACAGGGCGGGAGCAAACAACACCAGAAAACCCGCCAACCACCCTATTTATATGCCTCAGTGGACAAGTGAAGGACTGCTGTGGCAAGGAATGGGGCATCAACAGACAAACACCACCATGGTGGGAGGTGACAGGCAACTAGACAACAAAGGCCATTTTAAAGGCAATTTTGTTGCTTGTTTTAGCCTATCCATACGCCCCTGAAGTCATTTTGTACCCCCGAGGTTGTATTCTTCACATTTTAGAATACTTGTAGAGCGAAGATCTCTTCGAAACTTTCAGTATTTCTAAAAAAATAATTTTGACAGACTGTTATGCAAAGCATACGGATTGGATTAACGAGTAAATTTCCTCTTTGGAAAGTGGTGGCGGCACAGAGTTCCCCACATCGTATGGATACAATAGTAAAACACGACGTACGGATAGGGTTAAGTAGAGAGAAAAGCATACTGACTCACTTAAGGTCAACTAGTACTAGGAAAATGTAAGACAGAAAGACAGAAACAACAGAGGAAAAGTAAAGAAGTAGGACCTACCAATGGCATCCTCCAACCCCCCCACAAAGGCGAGTTACCAGGTCCCATACCGCTACCAGACACTGGGCTCAAAGGAACCTTTACAACGAAGAGGTAAAACTCAAGATCCCATTTGAAATTTGAATTTCTACCTCCCTTGAAATTTGTTATTGTGGGTGATTTACGCCCCTATCGACAACTCCCCGGTGATGATCAAAACAACCCAGCGACAGCAACCACCGGAACTTACTTGAAGTTTTAGTTTAGTTTTAGTAAGTGTTTTACGGAACTAGCAACACAATAAGATCATACAAGTGCCGAAGATTAAAGGTGTTACAAGAGAGTAACAAACACAAAAAAGAAGGAGGGGAGATAAAGACGATAGATGTTTGATAGGAAAGAAGGAGCAAACCACACCACAGCACCCGCCAACCACCGGAATTTACTTGGACAATTACATCATCGATCGAGAACAATTCATAATTTCATTTTGCATCTATGATTTAATCAAGAAGAAAAACCTGTACCACAGACAACTGGCATCCCCAACAGAGTTTAGTGGTGCAAGAAAAAAAGTATTAAAAGTTAATCCTGACGCTTTTACTTCAAATTTTTTTTAAAATATTTTTATAAAAACTAAATATAAACAGAGTAA